CTGTGTTTTGCTCTAAATCTATTATTATAAACATACATTAAAACATTTGGGGGCAGGAGTGGATGATCTCCAGAGGTCCCTGCCAGCCCTAAGTGTTCTATGATGCAGGTATGGACACAAGTAGTGCCAGGAGATGTAATTCAAGTCACCTCTCCCACTCTGAGGGGAACAGAGACCTGGAGGGCTCATCTTTGAAGGCATCCCTCAAAATTTTGTTTCAAAACTTGTCCATTGCCTGGAATTCTACCCCTGCATTCGGCTCTTGGAGCATCACTAACAGCCACAAATGGTGAAACCTGGTTCCAACCCACATCATTTCTGGGCATACTGTCCCAAGTGCTGAGCTGGGGCCTGAAAGAATTTAATTTTCAGTTTTCCACGGCAGAAGGGGGTGCACTGGAAGCTCACACCCTCCATGGGCTGCCTGTCCAACTGAACCTTGTGTCCTCAATAATGTGACTTTGAGCTGTTTTCCATGGCAAAGCTGGTGGATGCCAGGTCAGGGACTGTAGGGAAGTGCAGAGCTATTCCTCCATTTCAACCCCTCTGCCACAGAGGTGTTTCCAGGAGATGAAAAAGAGACAAAAATGATCCAAGGGGAGATAAACAGGCCCAGCAAAGGGTGGTTGGAGGAAATATTTGGGCTAAACCTGCTCAGGTGGCAGCAAAGCAGTTGAGGGGGGCAGTGGGGGCAGCCCTGGGGGTGCCTGGAGGTGACACCCACGGGATCAGTGTCCCCACACCAGAGTCTGGACTGAGCTGCTCCTGGGGGTTGATGGAGAAGTCAAGGATGTGTAACCACCCCCAGGGCTCAGGGCTGTGGGAGGACTGGGTGAAAGGGGGTCTCTGGGTACAAACTGTGGCTGGGAGATGCTGTGTTTGGGTAGTTATTATTTATTCTCACAAATGCTGTCAAAGCATCTTTGCCTGGGGAGCACGAACCCCAGCCCTGCCCCCTTCCTGTCCAAAGTGCCAATGTCAGCGTGGGGAGTCTGGTACCAGCCCTTGGATCTGAGTGTGACAAACCCTGCAGGACCCCCCTGCCCTTGCAGGACCAACTCTGGCTCTCTGCAGGAATAACTCTCAGCTGTGGGAGGCAAGGCTCAGCCTTGGGAACAGCTGAGTGGCTCAGATGAGGTCTTTTGACAGGTGAACTCAAAGGTAACGTCATAAAGGGAACCTTTGGCCAAGCCAAGATGAGGACAGAAGAGCCAGGGCTCCCAGGGCCACATCCAGATGGGAGCTGCCTCCCAGCAGTCAGGAATTCTTTTCTGGAAAGGACATTCAAAGAAAGCATCTGGAAAATCAAAGCCAAAGCAATAAAGGGTGAACTCTGCACCCTGTCCCAGCCCTGCAGCCTGTGCTGGTGCAGACAGAGAGAAGAATCATGCTGAGAGATGTTAAGGAGAGGACAAATTAACACCCTGTTTGCACTGCCCCTGCACCCTCAGGGACCTCTCTGGTCAGCTCAGAGAAGGGCTGTGTGTGCACACTTGGCACAGCCTCAATTGCCCCCTGTCTCCCTCCACTGGGAGCAGCTCAGTGCTTCTTCCCTTTGCACTCTGTGGCAGAAACTGAGATTCTGATGGAGGGTTTTCCAAGACCTGAGCAGGGCTCCCATTCTGTACTGCCCCTGCCCGTGCCCAGACACAGGAGCAGGTCCCTGACTGAGCAGTTTGGGTGATGCAACACCCCCCAGAGCTGGGCTCTGCTCCCTGTGCTCCTCAGATAATGCTCTGAGCAGGTCCCAGCACAATTTTGGATGCCACACGTGTGAATGAGTAACTAAAAATACCAATATATTCAAATGTGAGATAATGTCAGATGGCACATCCAACTGGGATTTAAAACCTGAAGCCAACAGTGCTGAGAGATACACATTTGCCATCAGGAGGGGAGGGATGGAGTCTGCTGCCTGAACTCCCACAGAGCACAGGGAAGGCAAAAAACCACTTCAAAATACCTTTCCAAAGGCAATCTTGCCTGCAGATGAAGCTCTATATTTTCCAAGGCTTATCCTGAAGCACAAACATGTTGAATGTTGTTTTCAACATGCAAATGACATTTATCTTCCAGTGTAATTTAATTATATATATATATTGCTGAAGAAAACATACAAAATGTTGTTTAAGGACCTCACCAAATAACCCTTCACCACCTGGGTGCACAATTGCCCAGTTGTCAGTTGTCCCAGGGTGGCACCTGCAGAGTCCAGCACATCCTTGTGCAGGAACATCTGGAACCCTGGAACAAGCCCCAGTGATGGGAACCTGCAGCCCTAAGGCCACTGGGGATCCCTGGCTTCTCATGGATTTCACATGGATTTAGGGGGCTCAGAGGAGCATCCAGAGGTCTCAGTGACTTGAGGTCTGAAGCCAAGATGCCCAGACCCTGCACTGGGGGGCATTTGAGTGGCTGGCAATGAACATGTCACCATGGCACAGGGCAGGCAGGACACACAGCCTGCCCTGCAGTGACTGTGTGCCCTCTGTGCACACCCTGGGCATGGAGGAGGAGAGAGAATGTGGGGAACACCCCACGGGGCAGCTTTGCTTTGGCAGGAGGGGCCGAGCTCCCATCTCACCCCAGATAAGATTGTGCTCCTGGCGGCTCCTTCAGTGGCTGCTGTGCCCGTCCCAGCCCTGCCCACGCCTCGATAAGGCCTGTGCCCTTTGGCTCCTTCCCTCCATTTTCACTGGGAAAGCGTGTTTGTTGTCCTTCCTTCCTCACCCAAGCAGGGTGCTGAGAGCTTCTGCTCCCCCTGGCCCCAGTGCCCGAGCTCTGCTGGAGCTCATGCTGGCTCTGGGCAGCAGATCCCCAGCTCAGTGTCCCCTGGGGGGACCTCAGTTCCAGGGGCACTGAATAGTCAACCCTGTTATGGTACCTTCGGAGAGAAATGGAGGCCAGAAATGGAGAAATAGAGGTCGGTTCTGTGTCCAGAAAATACCACTCTAAGATGAAACATCAAAGTATTTCCCTGACAAATACTGGGCAAAGTATTTCCATAATTTCGAGGCTGCTCTCCAGGGGTGCGGCCACCAACACAGGCACAGAATCAGAGAATCCCAGAATGGTTTGTGCTTGAAGGGACCTTAAAGCCCATCTCATTCCACTCCCTGGCATGGGCAGCAACACCTTCCACCAGCCCAGGTTGCTCCAAGCCCTGTCCAACCTGGCCTTGGACACTTCCAGGGCTGGGGCAGCCACAGCTTCTCTGGGGAATGAATGTCCTCAAGAACTTTTCTCTGCAGGTCCAACATGATGCTGTTCCATCCTTCCTGAAGAGAAGTATCTCCACCACTGGGGACAGTACACATTTTTAAACTCTCGGCAGCATTTAGATACCAACTGAAGACAGAAAACCCTTTGAGGCTTTAGGCCAGAGGTATTTGAAAATGCCTTGTAGGGCACTGTGGTTGATGCCACTGAAGTCTCTCACAGCTGTGGACGTGGCACTAGAGCTGGTGACTCACCTCCAAAGTTTGAAATTACTCCTGCAAGTGAATTCTGTCCTGACAGTGCCACAAATGCACTCTGGTTCCTCTGCACATCACACAAACCTTGCTATGATTCTATGAAACATCAGTGAGCTGGTAGATACCTTGTGGGAGTGAATGAGGTTGTGGCTGCCCCATCCCTGGAAGTGTGCAAGGCCAGGTTGGACGGGGCTTGGAGCAACCTGGACTAGTGGAATGTGTCCCTGCCCATGGCAGGGGATGGAACTGGATGGGCTTTAAGGTCCCTTCCAACCCAAACCAGCCTGTGATCCTGACGGAAGCAGCACCACTGAACCATGTCCTGTATCCTGAGCTCTCTCCAGGCCCACCCCAAGGCATGGCTGGAGGGGACAGGACTAGACCTATTCCCTACTGCCCTGACCCGCTGGATGCTGGGCTGCAGTGGGTCTGCTTTGTTTCCACAGGGTTCTCAGATAAGTAATCTCTCTTGCGACCTGATAAATATGAGAAAAATGAAGGAAGTAATTTAAAATCTTTTCTGTTGTTACAAAGTTCAAAGGGTTTGTGTGGTACCTAAAAGGGACCACTCGGTTTGGTCGGTCACATGTCTCTGGTCCTGATGTTCAGTATTTTTAGATAAGGACACTTTAGCATATCTGACAAATCTTTGCCTCACTCTCAGGATGTTTAACTTTGGGGTTTTAGCATCACTCAATCCCCAAAGCAGCCCATGAACCCCCTCTCAGCACAGCCTTTCCAGCCTGGCAAACTGTTCCTGTTGCTCACCCACATTCCAGGGCAGAGCATCCTGAGGACACCAACTGGTTTCATGGCCATGACCAACCTCACCTGGGACCCCACCCACACCCACAGGCCCAGCTCAGCCATGGCCTTTAGTCCTGAACTGGACTGCAGGAGTGTTGGGCTCCAACTCAGCCACAGCCACAGCCCTGCAGGGACCTCAGGGAGGTCCTCAGAGCAGCTCAGCCAGCACAGGAGGACACCCCACCCCATCCCATCCCACACCACCCCATCCCATCCCATCCCACTCCATCCCATCCCAACTCACAAGCAGTTCCTGTGCAGCTTCTGTACTCTTTTGTTGTCAATTAAGCAAATTTGCCTTAAAACTCCACATTGCACTTTTTTCAAAAAAAAATATTCTGAAGAGGCAGAAAAACAGTTTTCTGGCCTCATCTGTCTTATGTGAGCTTTAAACTGATAAGATTTACAGGTGGGTCTTCCTGTGACAGGTGAAATTAAAGTGGCACAGAAACCAAGGTCAAAACATGAGGAGCAAATTTTGTCAGGCATTTCTAAATATCTGGTCTCTATTTCTGTGGTTACCTGTTATCTGTGCTTAGGACATGCGTGCATGAAATATAATTTCTTAAGTGCACTTTGACAGTCTACCTCAGGAAATTCTGCTCTGCTCTGAATTACAGAATCATGGAATCATGGAATGGTTTGGATTGGAAAGGACCTTAAAGATCATCTTGTTCCACCCCCTACCATGGGCAGGGACACCTCCCACCAGCCCAGGTTGCTCCAACCTGGCCTTGGACACTTCCAGGGATCCAGGGGCAGCCACAGCTTCTCTGGGCAACCTGTGCCAGGGCCTCCCCACCCTCCCAGGGAACAATTTCTCCCTAATAATTAATCGAAGCCTCCTCTCTTTCAGTCTGAAGCCATTCCCCCTTGTCCTGTCATCTAGTTCCTATCTCGTTAATAGTCTCTCTCCATCTTTCTTGTCTCCCTTGGAAGGCACAACCAGCAGACAGGAGGCAGTTTTTGGAGCTTTCCAGGACTCGGATCTGCTTCTCTGCACAGTCCCAGCATTTCCCTGCTCACACAAATGGCAGCATCCTGGAGGAACTTCCCTGGGATGAGGCAACTTGAACCTTTGCTTGTCTCCACTTCCCCCTCAGGTCACAAGGGGCACAGTAGGATTTTTTCCCTTTGAAAAATCCTTTGTCATGTACATCCAAAGCAAGAGGGGAAATGTAGCTCAGACCTCAGAGCAGTGATTTCTCTCTGTCCCTGACACCTTTTATCTATTATTCCTGTGTTTAAACTGTTTCTTGCAGCCACCTGAAGGAATATGAATAATGCTCTGGTATTTCTATAACCTTCCTCTGACCCATTTGCTATTTTTACTCCAGTGCTTCATCTTCCTGGGATGCTGGGGGTTACCAGGGCTGGAATTTCCAGGGGCTGGCAGCTTGTTAACCAGGGGCTGTCCTGTCCTGCTGATACAGGTGCAAAGGCATGAGATTCTTTCCTTTACAAGTGGAAAACATCTCAGCACATCCCTGATGCTGCTTTTGTGTGATGTCCAACTGGGCGGCCTTCTCCTTGCCCAGTTCCACCACTCCTGTCCCACATGGAATGGAAATCTGGGCTGCTGGGGCTTGAGGGGGCCACACTTGGTGTGTTTGAAGCATCATTTCACACTTCTTCCCTGTCCTCAGCAGCACTGTGGCTGCAGTGGGGATGTGGGAGAGCTGTTGGCCATCTGCTGAGGGAATGCTGCTCAGTTTTATTCCAAAGAGACATTATTGTATTCCAAAGAGACATTGTACTCCAAAGAGACAGTGTCAGAGACCTTTTGTCTCCCTGCACTCCACTGGCGTGGAAATGTGCTCTTTTCTGGCCTTGGGGATGTGGTTTTGCAGCTGAGTTGGGCCAGTTGTGCAGCTGGAGAGAGAACTGGGTATCAGCCTGTGCTGGAAGGAGCCCTGAGTGTTTTCCTGAGGAGCTGCCTCAGCAGGAGGGATTCAAAGGTTGATTCCTGCGCTCCTGAGCTGGGAGGTGACACATGATCCATGTCCCCTTCAGCAGAGGAAAGGTCTGAATGCCCCTCAGGATGGACCCAGAGCCCTGAGTTGTTGAGGCAGGATGGTGCAGACTTTGTGTGCTGCCAGGAACCTTTGGGACTGGGACAAGTGTAGCATGACCCTGTTTGTGACCCTCCCTCTGGGGTGTGTCCCCTGACAGGGTGCCCAGCTCAGGCTGGAGCCCCCAGGGTGGGGAGATCCTGGCAAGTTGACCATAGCATGAGCTGAATTCCCACAGCTCACCCAACCCAGGCACTTTGCTGCCTTTCCCAGTGACTGAGCAGCTTCTCACCAGCGTTGCTGGTTTTGCAAAGCCCAGTGCTGGGCTCTGCTGTGGCTCCTGGGGAAGGGGCTGAGATGGAGAACAGCCCTGCACAGATTCCCATGTCTGATGCCAGCCCTGGCAGCTGCACTGGTTCCAGTGAACTGCTCCTACCCTTACAAATGCAGCACGAGGCAGCCCCACTGAACTGACCCTTTGCTGGTTTATTTGCTCCCCACAGTTTTTAGTTGCTGCCTGAGCAGACAAAACCCCTCGGGACACCCCACCTACCTCTTGCACTCTAAAAATGAAGGATAAATCCACTGCAACTCCGGGGGAGTAGAAACATTGAATCACAGAATCATTAAGGTTGGAAAATACCTTTAGGATTGTCAAGTCCAACCATCAACACCACCACCACGTTCACCACTAAACCATGTCCTCAAGTGCAACTCTTCGTGCTTTTTGAACACTTCCAGGGACGGGGATTCCAACACTCCTCTGGGAATCTTGTTCCAAAGCTGAACCCCTCTTTCAGTAAAGAACTTATTCCCAATATCCAACCTGGTGCAACTTGAGGACGTTTTCTCTCATCCTGTCACCCAGGGGCAGAGCCCGACCCCCCCCAGCTGCCCCCTCCTGTCAGGGAGTTGTAGGGAACAACGAGGTCTCCTCTGAGCCTCCTTTTCTCTAGGGAAAAGCAAGAGCCTTGCAAAGCTCAAGGAAAGGCTGGTGCTGCTGGCAGAGCAGGAGTTTGAGGGAACAATCTGTTCCATCTGCATCTGTCGTAACCGAGGGGTTTGATCATCGTTTGTGGTTATTGGAAACTGGCTCTGGCCGGGTTGTTCCTCGTGAGCTCTGCAGCCAAATCCCTGAGCCTGCTGCTGCATTGACTGGCACTCACTCCTCCAGCCTGATTTCTAGGAAATCATTTGTTATTCATAACTACTTGATGATTATTGGGAGTGAAATGATGTTCTCTGGAGAAAGGTGCCAGATTCCAGCACTGCCAGAAATGTTCTCTTTCCTGTTGGGGTTTGGACGTCAAACTGTCAGAAATCCAACTGGACTCCAATGTATGAAAGGCAGATCTTCTCACTCATATGTTCACAGGGACCCTTATCCCAGTAACTGCATCACTCCATAGCTCTGGGACAGTCAAACACACAGATGAAAGTTGAAATAATTTTAGCATGACTGCCTTGGCTTTGGCTTTGATAAGAGCTGTGCTATCCGACCCAGAACACAGCCAGGAACCCACACTGTGGATGTGCTCACTGGGAAACAAGCCTGCCTTGTTCCTCTCCACCTTAATCCCTTTGAATGGGAATTAAACCAAACAAAGCAAAGATTTTTGGGGGATGTGATATCTTTCCTGTGATAAATGGGCAGAAAGAGCTCGTCAGCTATTGGACACTTGGGCTTCCTCTGCGTCTGCTTCCGTGTCTGAAAGTTTGTCTGAATTTTCTAATGCTGCTTTTGGTCTAATTGAAGATATTATCCGTCCTGACAAGCCTTGCCTATCTTGTGCTCTTTGGCTTTCTTATCTGTAGAACAACTTGCCTTTAACAAGAACAAGAAACCCGGGCATCCATACCTGGCATTCCTAACAATAACAATGGCACTTTCTAGACAAACATAGTTTTGGATAAAGGACTTTGCTTGGCCAAAGTCTGGTTCTCTAGACAAGGCCAGCAAACCTTCTGTGGTGGCTTTGTGACAACACCATTAATCAGCAGAGATTAGCAGTCAGCAAATTCTTTCTTCAGATATAAAATCTGGGTTGTGAATGTGCCCATTCACGGAGTGGGAGCTCTGCTGGTGACGTGCCTGCAGGACTGGGCCTCAGCACCCTCCTCCTGCAGCTTCCCAGAGCTCAGCAGCTGTTTAGAACCATGATTTAAAACCCAATTACAGGCTGTGTAAAATCCCTCTTATTTAGCTCAATAATGTGTAATGGGCTCAGCTGGGATTTCTTTTGTTTGTCTAGGCTTTTTTTTTTTTTTAGTATCATCCTCTTTAAAATCCATTTAAATCTATTTTCAACAAAGCTCCTCTGTCTGAGGAGAGACAGAAGATGCTGGGGGACAGGGAAGGGCTCTGCTCGTCCCCTGGAGACCTGGCAGGTCTCAAAGCTTGAGAAGGTGACAGGAATGGCAGGGAAGGTTGGGTTTGGGACCATCTGGTTCCTCTCCCAGCAGTGTGCAGATGCTCTGCAGAGGGGATGTGTCAGGAGCACCTGCCTTGGGTTGGTCTGGCTTGTCTGGGTCAGACCAGTGAAGCTCTGTCAGGCTGAGAACTGAGCTGAGGGCTGACAAGGCAGCTCTCAAAGCTGCATTCTCACTGCTGCCTCCAAAAAAGAAGCCCCAAAACTTGACTCATTCAGCAGAACAAAGACTAAAACCTTCTGTAAACACAGCAAATCAGGAAGATGTGCAAAGTGATTAAAGTCACTTTGCACAGCGATGCAAAGAGATGAGTACCAACATGAATTACAAGGAGGTTTCCTTCACTCCAGGCAGTGGGGAGGTGGGGCAGGAGCTGTGGGACCACCTCATCTTAAACCAGAGCTTGACTGGCTCCTGAAAAGGATCCTGCAGTTTAACAGCCTGGAGGGAAAGGAGCCAGAGGAGCTGAGAAGGTCCCTGGAGACCCCATGTGAGAGGGGCTGATGTCCAGGTTGGAGCCCTGCTTTGTGCTCCAGGGAGAAACTGAGCTTGAGTCTCTGTGGAAATGAGGGTTGTGAGAAATGAGGCACTGAAGGAGAGGTTAAACACTGGAACAGGATCCCAAGGGAAGTGTTGGAGTCACCACCCCTGGAAGGGTTCAAAACACACATGGCTGTGGCACCTCCCAATGTGGTTTATTGGCCACACTGGGATTTGGTCAAAGGTTGGTCTTGATGGTCTTGGAGGTCTCTTCCAGCCTTAAGGAATCTGATTCTGTGAAAGCCAAATGACTTGGACTTGGATATTCCTGTTTTCCCTTCTCCTCCTTTGTTTTTAATCCCCTATCCTGGAGTTTCATAATGTGGAAACAAGAGAAAAATTCCCAGCACAGTAGGTGAGAACTGAAGTGCAAAAGACCAGAAGTTGTTTACAGGTTATTTATCTCTTCTTTTCTGCCCATTTTGCCCCATTCAGCACCGAAACAGGGATTTAACCCAGCAACAGCACTGCAGGCACAGAGCACCTGTCCTGAGGGTGGAGAAACCTTCCCCAACACCTCCCAAAGCCCTGAGCTGGCTCAGAGATTTCCTTCTCACATCACCCAATCCACCCAGAACTGGAAATGTCTCAGGGCCACAGACATGGCAGGAAAGAGGGTGTTTTAGGGAAATTAAATGCTAAACCCATTACACAGGCTTAGCTGATTTCCTAGGGGTAAACATGGAAAGAGAAAAAACAAAGTGGTTTTAATGACTTCACTGAGCAAACATAACAAGAAAGTGATGAAATGTGAGAAAGATAAGACAGAATAAATAAAGGGAGCT